CCCCAAAACCCCAAAACCCCAAAACCCCAAAACCCCAAAACCCCAGGTTGTTGTGGAGGAGTTGAAATATGTAATATTATTTCAACATGAAATTTAGGAATTTGTCCTTGGTGATCTTTTTATCCTTTTGAGTAATCATTTTGAGCATCTTTCTCTGGATTTTCTTTAGTTGATCTGCGTCTTTATCAGGGTAGACAGGTTCTAATTGCCCTTGGAGCATATTTTTAAACACACTTTTGCTGACTTTAGGTTTTCCTTGGCTAATTGATTCAAAAATTTTATCACATGTATCTCGATCTGGGTCTAAAAAGCAGTCAACAGCAAGATAATCTTGTATAAAGGCGACTGAGTCATAGCTATCTTTAGAGTTTAAAAATCCTAACATTGCTTCTTTGGTCTATGGAATAAACAGTAGTAGCTTACGTCATCATTGATAGAGCTTCAGTCTATTATTTTCTTCCCAAAATACGTAAGTGCAAGATCTTTTTCAACTATCTGTTGCCTATTTCCTATTCTTAAGAACCTCTTCTGGATCTTTTCCAGTCTCGAGTCTGAAGCAATATTTGTTAATCACATAGCATATATGATTAATTTGGCATGTATCTTATAGCTAAGATTTGACTGTGAAGATTGCTGATCATTTGAAATATCACTTGGATCTATGCTTGGCTCTGCACTCACATCCTCACTAAATTCAGCAGATTTTTCAGTAGACATAATGCATGATTTGATTGCCTTCTTAGGAGTCTTGGGCTTGGCTACATCCTTAACCTGGTCATTATGCATATGCTTCATGTTGATGGCTTTGATAGTATCTAATGGGTTATCTTCTCTGTTGATAAATTCAGGCTCTTGATCGATAAAATCTTGGGATTTGGTTGGTTTTATTGCTCTTTTATGAGCTTTATGCTTCTATTCCTCGTTAGAATGACCTTACTTTTGCTTCGTGTCTATTATTATTGTCTTTAGTTTCTTTCTCTTCATCCTTGACTGTCTGACTTTCAGTCAGGTTCTTCATTCCTTCAATTTTCTCAAAGAGGCGAGGATCTGCCTTCATTAGAATTTTTTGAAGATTGTTGTTGATATTAAGAAGACTTCCAACGTCCTTCTTTTCCTCATTGTCAGATTCAGATTGGTTCCTTTGTAAGTCCTGATGAGTAGGAAAATTTTGCCTTTCTCTTTTTTGATCTCTTCTCAACTGTTTATTTGCCTGCTGCTCTGATGTAGCATTAATTTTTACTTCTTTATGTTTCCTTGGTGTACGACTTTTGTTCAATTTTTTGCTTTTCTTTTCATCAGTATCTTTACTGTTCTGCTTAGCTGTAGGCTTATTTAACTCTATCTCTCTAGTTGTAGGGCTTTTAGAGCTCTTCTCTTCAGTTTCTTGCATTGTATAAAGAGGTTCTTCCCTTTGAATTGCTTCTCTTTTAACAAATTCCACACTTTGATCACTTAGTTTCTCTAATTTTTTGACTTCCATTGGTTCATGGAGCATTTCAGTCTCACTAGCAGTATTATCTCCTTGAGAAGCCTCTTTTGATTGCTCTTGTTTTTCTCTAGAAATTATGATATTCAACTACTTTTTAGATGTGTTAGAGCGAACTTCACGCTTGATTTTTCCTTCAAAAAGAGAATTTAGCTTGATTATTTCTGCATTTAGTTGCTCGATTCCTATACGTTTGGGAGCATCATAAATTAACATCTTGGAGATTAAGTCCAGGATCTCCTGGGGAGAATCTAGAAACAGAGGACTGTCAAACCTGAGATAATTTCTAAACAATTTAATGAACAGTATACTCGCTCAAGCTATTCATCTCAAGTTTCTCTGAGTATTCATTAAAGCTCAAGTGCACTAGATCTTCAAATGGGTGCTCCTTTGATAACATCTGGTAAAATATGATTCCTGCTGACCAGATATCTGATTTCTCAGTTGGAAATCTATGTATTAACTATAATTATACCCCTTGGCTAACTCTGGTGCATAATATAGCATATTAGGTACATCCTTGGTCCTATATAATGAATATCATCAATTAGAAAATTACTCTTCAAGACTGAACTTATTTCCTGACTTCTGTGTACATGCTCATCTTGGAATAATAGCCATCATCAACATTGAAATTGTCGAATTTCTTGTCAAAAATTGAATTTTCTTCAATAAGTCATGATCTTTCAAGGCCAGTGACATTTAAAGACAGCCAATTCTTTGCTTCTTTGAATATAATATTTGAGGGAATAAGGTTTCCATGGAAGATTTTATACTCATTAAGTATATTCAAAACTTTAACAATCTGTTTCATAGCAACTAAAGCAAAAGCATAAGAAATAGGATAAGGAGTTTTTGAACTAGCAGAGATCATTTCAGAGAGCAGAGTTCTCTCACTTCTGATCTCCTCGACAATCACCATCTCATTTATATAGCTATCCTTGATTACTGGAATCTGATGATGATGTGAAAGGACTGAACTAAAAACCAGATCCTTATAATAAAATGCTTTCTTATCGTCACCTAAATTAATATAAGTATTTTGGATTTTTCAAAATTGCTTACTTTTATCATAAAACTTTGCTATAAACTTCTGTCCATCTTTGTCAGTCACAAAGATGTATGAAATAGGGTACTTCTCCAGAAACTTACTTCTGAATCTTATAATCATCATAAAACGACCTGACTATGACCTCATTTTCTGGTTCGAATAGAGGTTCTTCAAGCAAGATCTTTTTCTTTTTCTTGTTAAGCTTGGTGGCAAAATCAGACCTGACTTTACCAGCAGGTCTTATCTCCTAAAGGATGATAGTCGCGGCTTACAAATGCTCCTCTGCCTTTGCAGCAATGTTCATTACCCATAATTATTTTTCAATAATGATGCTGAATTTAGGGGTTTTGGGGTTTTGGGGTTTTGGGGTTTTGGGG